GATGCATGTCCGGACTGTCCAGTGTCCGGTGGTGTCCAGAATACTGGACAGTCCGGACCGGTCCAGACAATGGTCCGGGAAACAGTCCGGAAGTGTCCGATGTCCGGGTCCGGGGTTACCATGGGCTTATCCCCCTAATAAAAGAAAAACAAATTATAATTTCTAACTCTGCTGTTAACCCACAGCCCCAATGGTGGTGATGAGGGAGCAGAAACAAGCTCATAATGTCAGAGGCTTAACCCCTGAAACAAAGAAAGAAAAATTCTAATTTCTAGCCCTGCTGTGAACCCACAGCCCAATGATGGTGATGAAGGAGCAGAAACAAGGGTCATGAGAGTAAAGCACAAATGCACATGTTATTATCTTTAAATACTTTTTCACATTCTAAAGATCCGAATCAAACCTCGGTGGCTGCTATGTATGGCTTGAGGAAAACTCTGTGCTTACGATTTTTTCATATTGCCTCTCACTGAGACTCACTCTGATAATAATCTTTGGCTTTCTGTTCACGTGCTGCGTCTGCAGCTGTGTACTACGTACTTGAGTTATGAACAAAACTACGAAAACTGTTTTGAATTGTGTTTTCTCAGTTTTGTCAAATCTTTTTTTACTTTTATCTTATTAATAGTTATTATTATTATCAATTCGATCGAGCAAAAAACAAGCCAAGTACACATTAAAGTTCAAAGTTCAAACACGTCCAGGGGTCACAAAAAGGCAGGGTAGTGGGGAAGAGGTATTGCAAAAGGTCAAAAAGGCAGACATATATCATTGAAAGGACAGTGTCATGCTGATTGAAAGCCACGTGATGAACAGTTACACCTCCTACCCGTGCTCACCTTAACCCTGTAGGTCCGTGGTTTCAATTCTTTCCGTGGCTGCAAGAGTTTCTGTTCTTCTCTCGTCAGTCGACTCGTTACCTGCAGGAGCATGACAGCAACTCCACCAGGATGATGACCGAATTAAGGAAAGAAAAAGACAGGATAGGTAGAAATTCAAGAAATACCGAAGAATACAGACAAAAAGATGACAATTGAAATGAACCTCGCAATTACCGCCCAAGTCAAACATGCAAGATGACAACATTCACATGGAAGCTCACACCACGCCCGACAGATAACACATGAATCACTAAAAAAATATATATAATACAATTGGAGAGCCGTGGCCGCGATCCAACATTACGACTTGATACAGGTATGCATCCAATGCCCTTTCCGTCAGTGTCTGACTCTCTCTCCCTCTCTCTCCCTCTCTCTCCCTCTCTCACTGTCTGCCTCTTCTCACTTGTTCAAGTCTTGTATCGTTCACCCTCTCTGATGTGCTCACTCTGCCTCTTTTGCCTAGGATCTACCCTGAATGCAACTGCGGTATGTCACACTGAACCTTAGCGGCTATAGCCCCCGTCTTCCTCCACTCTAACCCTAACTATGGCGGACTCCCTTTGCCAGGACCTTTGCTTCTTCCCCAGCGCCTCCCTCTGTCCTGATCGTGCGATCGCACAAGCACCTAGCAGCGCTTCCACCACTTTGCGAATGAACGAACTGTCGGCCTTGGTACTGTAGCAGCTATTAATAGCTGCAGTTGACTGTATGTGCCTGCTTCAGACCGGTACCAGTCGCTCGCGGCCTCCATTGCCGATTTTCTTTGTGTTCCGGAAGTCTCCGGACTTTCCTGGACGCTACTGCAAAATTGCACATTGGGACTCGTTTTCCTCTTCTGGTACCTGCGGACTTTTACCTGCCGCGATGCTTCAGTACCCGACTTCTACTGACCTCGGATGTTTCGACCTAAGGGCCCTAGGACTTGATCTACTGGGACAGCCCGGGACTGGGACCAACTCTGGGACTGGAACTTGGGATTGACAGCGTGAAATCCTTTCACAATTGGAAAACCTGCCTCTATTCCTCTGTCTGTCATGAGATGGTAAATATTACATACGATACTTGCGGCGCATTGAGGTGCGCGCCTCAGTGCACGTCTGGCGCACCTACACACCACTTCCGATGCGGCGCAAAAAAAAAAAAGAAAAAACGGG